TATATCAATTTAAGGGGGACCCGCCAAAGATCGCCATACATTGCAACACAAAATCCAATAATCCAAAACCATACACCCAGCAAACAGCTGAGCGTGAAGGGTGATGATAAGTAACAATGCACAAATGAGCGAGTCCATTCGTGACCATCCGTCGCACACCTTACCCTCCCACCATTTTCGCTTGGAACCTGACGTTCGAGCGTCGAACGGTTCCATGTGAAAAAACAGTGGGGAGGCTTGTCCTTTTCAACAGACTTAGATTTGCCAGTCCTGAGAGGATCAAAGGAAGTGTGCCGAAAAAAAGGTGCCAGTCCTCCATGGTGTTGTCAAGAATCGGCCATAGGCCAACCCCCAAAATCGGTTGCAACGGGTAGATCCCGTCGCAGCCTGGGCCTCGAGCTCAACTCTCATCTGCGTGAGCTGCGACCTCGGGCGTTCCGCTCAGAACCTATACATGAATCGATTTGTAGATATACGGTACATGTATGCTTGGGACTTTCGCTTCAAAACCTTCATCTACCCGGGTTTTGTGGTGGCTTGTGGTGGCTTGGTGTTTGCTGACGACACTTTTGGCTGGGGCTGGCGTCCCCCAAACAGCTGGTTAAAGCTTGAAGGTCATGATCCGTTTGCCCGACCAAGTTACAACTTGCTGGCTACAAGGGAAACAAAGGAAACCCGAAAGGCAAAAAGGGCAAAACGAGCAACGTGACACCCGGCAATGATGGATGTTGACTGTTTGGTTTCCGGGCACCTTAGGGTCCAAGGAACCAGCAGTTCAGACGCTCCCCTGGCTTGAAATAGCCCGCTACCCCGCTTCTACCCCATCAATGGTCCATGATTGGCAAGGATAATCAGGAAATTGAACTTTTGCAGTTGGGTGAAAGCTATGGCAAAATTCCCACTTTGGTCTAATCCGCCCCTTTTCCTACCATACAGGGGATTGTGCCATTTACGTTCACCCGTTTTTTGTTCAAAGATGGAAGAAAGGCGGGAGCCCAACCGGTCACAAGGTGAGCTCGCTTTGGGCAAGTGACTTGCACCGAAATTGAATCCCAGGGTTCCGTCCACCCAGCCAACGATCGCTGCTACATGATCCCTTTTTGGACTCCATGTTGATTTGATGGGTGGTCGATTGTTGCCAAGCGTTTGTTTGCGAGAACTGGGGTTAGGTTCCGGTGTTCTTATAGCAATGGTATCATGTCATACCGTACATACATACTGTTAGACGGCCAATTTGCAGAATACCGCGCACAAATCGTGCTGGATCTAAAGTAAAAACTACTGCCTAGGGAAGCTACCCCTGAGGGTGACTTTGAGAACTCCTCAAAATGCAGCCACTTTCAGGGACTCGGACGTAGAGACGAGTTATTTATGCCCAAGCAGCCGCAAATCTTCGATGGTCTGCGCAAGTTGTTCCTCACGCCGAAACTCGCTTCGAGCGAGCAAGAGGGCGCTTTGGCAATCTGTGTGTCTCCCTTGGTTTGCTTTTCGATTTCCTTTGGACACCGAGAAGCCGGTGTCTTCCACATGGAAAGGGGCGACAGCCATGTGTTTTTTGTTGGTCCTAGCGGAAACGGAAACTGGGGCCTCCCACTTCCAGATTTGGCTTTGGGTCAAAACCAATGGTACCATTTTGGGGTAGGTGCACCACCCATTTTAGAGCCTATTTTCGTGGTTGGATTTGGATGTTCACTGGGGGGTAACCGGATTTTGACCCATGGCCATTTGAACCAACGGGAGTACTGGGAGGTGGAGGGCGTGCAGCCGTGAAGCTTTGGCGCGAGCAGACCGCAAACCGCCGTCCCTCTCCGAACAAACAAGTTCGCAGCGCGGGTGTTCTTTGCCGGCGAGACAACTGCCCCACAAGGGCTTCCTCTAGCCAAACTTTTTGCAATCGGTGTTGTTTGCTTGCTTGGCTCCTCTGAAACATCTTGGGGGCCTGGGGGGAAGGGGGGAGGGAGCCCAAAAAGGCTCTCATGCTTAATAGGCCCAGAATGAGGCTTCATTTGGGCCCCAACCCCACCCCCCCCCGCCCCCGAGCCCCCATCAAACCACTATGGGGAGCCACAACCTTTCGCTCCCAAACAGCACAGGGCTTGAACTGCACAGTTCGGGCAGGAGCTGCCATTTACATGGAGGTCCCAAAGCTCGGCGGTTCATACATCAGCCATGCCCCAAACATGTTACCCCCCACAAGGACCGACCCAAAACTGAACCCTTGGGCGGCTGCAGCCAGAGAACACAACAGCCTGACGCATTCTTTTGTGGCTCATCAAATTACATTTGTCGTTGATTGCTTAATATCGCCAGAGGTGCCGAGGAGCCGCCACAAACCCTTAAAAGTTCGGGCAACTTACAATGGCCCCCCAGGAAACAAATCGTCTTCTCCCAAGGGACCAGCATTCTGGGTCAGCCAGTTTCAACCGCAGATTCAAATGGCTGTGTACTAGTGGGAAGCCTCTGGTGCTTCAAGGGAGGCCAAACTTAGGCAAGGAGACATTGGACATGGGCACCCTGCCAAGGCGTTGAATCCGGCTGCGAATCAAATCGGCCTTGCCCCGCCCCCGCCGTGCCAACTCCTGGCTCGCCTTCGTGCTTTCCTCAGCATGCTTTTCTGGTTTGGAAGGTTCGGCTCCATCCGAAAAAATACAATAACAAAATGAACCGGATCTGATGCATGGCTGTCTGGCTGTCTGTCTGTCTGTCCGTCCGCCTGTCTCTGTACAGTTTATCAACTAATTAGAGATGGACAGACCGAAACAGCAAACGGACAGATAGTCAAACAGAGACACAGAGACGTAAAGACACAAGGGCACAGACAGCGAGACAGAGAGAGAGAGAGAGAGAGAGAGACAGACGAACCGAACTGTGACATGTGCGTGGATTCTGCCGATTGCAGAGTGCAAAGGTGAAACGTGAGCAGCATGGTCCTTTGGGATGTGTTGAGTGCTAAAACGGGAGATTCCTGAACAATCCTGTCCTGAAAGGGCGGTCCTGATTCAGGAAGCGCAAAAAGAAAGCCGCACTGCCAAAGAGGATGCAACAGCTTAATCGGCTTGCAAGGACCAGGCGAAGGTTCAATTCGCAACAAAATGATGGTTCGAACACACAGACACACAGACACACAGACACACAGACACACAGACACACAGACACACAAACACACAGACACACAGACACACAGACACAGAGACACAGAGACACAGAGACACACAGACACACAGACACACAGACACAGAGACACACAGACACAGAGACACACAGACACAGAGACACACACACAGAGACACACACACACAGAGACACACACAGAGACACACACAGAGACACACACACACACAGAGACACACACAGAGACACACACAGAGACACACACAGAGACACACACAGAGACACACACAGAGACACACACAGAGACACACACAGAGACACACACAGAGACACACACAGAGACACACACAGAGACACACACAGAGACACACACAGAGACACACACAGACACACACACAGACACACACACACACACACACACACACAGACACACACAGACACACACACACAGACACACACACAGACACACACACAGACACACACACACAGACACACACACACACACACACACACACACACACACACACACACACACACACACACACACACACACACACACACACACACACACACACACACACACACACACACACACACACACACACACACACACACACACACACACGCATAACAAGGATATTTCATGATATATCACACACACAAATACGCAACTGTACTCTTTTGGTATTGCATTGTCATTGCATCAATATTATATACCCTATCTCCACCACAATTGGGAACACAAGAGGCGTGTTCGAATAAGTTATTTCACTTGCATCCACAACAGGACAAATGTATGGGAAAGGGTCCTTCATCGGGTTCTGGATCGGACATTTCCGCACCTGAGTGAACTTGCCACTGTTCCACCAAACTGCTCGCAAACGCACCAAGCTCAGGAACTCAAGGAGTGAGTAGCAGTGAGTAGCGTGTCCGTTCCAATCGCACATTAAAGGGTCATCTTGAGGCTGCCACTTGTCTGGGCCAAACATAGACATCTCAGCTTTTTGCAGGCCCATACAATTCAGGACCCGGAAAAGCACACAGTTGAAAAGGGTAAGCTAGGTAAACCGATGCTTGACGGATCCAGCGCACGTTTTGGGGCGGAACCGCTACGGATCCGAGCCGCGGCCACGGCATCGTCTTTGTGCGCCAGTTCTGCCTCGAGGTCGCTGACCCGGGCAAGGGAGGTTGACAGCTGCTCTTGCAGAGCCTGCCTTAGGCGGAAGGGAAGCTACATGGAAGGGGGTTGCAGCGGGCACCATTCCCGTCAAATATGTGGGCAAGGGGGAGGATTAAACCAAAATCAGGCACTTGTGCCATCCACCGACTTAGTACAGGCTCGCCGATCAGAGCGTCTGTGTCAGAGGCTACAAATGATGGCCCGATGACCCTAGTGTTTTGTTTTGGTTTGGACTTTCAACCAATGCTGCAGATTTACATGGAACCCAAAAAGCCACAATGTTTAGAGGCATCTCCTTTTTGGGCACCCTTTGTGGGGTCCATGTGAATTTGCAGGGGGGTCATCCGAGGTATACCTGCCGAAGCTGAAATAGTTCCCAGTTGACCTATAAAGTATTCTAGTGGTACTAGAAAACCTCCGGAATCCAAGGGGAAATGGCTGGTTTTTGAAAAGAACGATGATTGAAAAGAATGGGGAATCAACCCCTAGAAGTATCTGCTGCGTAATCCTGAGACTTTTCTGGTTCTTGCTTAGTCCGTGGATAGAGCTCCAGCTGGATGAAACGCTTCACAAGAAGCTTCGTTCTTGTACTTGTCCAGCAACCATATACTCCCAATTGCTTAAGCCTCTCGGGGAAAAAACAATGTGATAGATTCCCTTTAAAACCAACAGGGGAAAATAAACAATACTCTTAACCAACTAAAATTTATGGACAGTAAACAATATTCTTAAGCAAATGGAAGTATATTGCAAGCACAACTTGAGTGCCTGACCACTGTCTGTATTCAAGAAAGCCGATGACATCTGAGCTATCCTTGTCATCCGTGGCCTGTCTGATGGTTGGCAAAGGCCAAGCAAGTATCGAATTGGATAGGGAGTGACTGCGCGAGGACTTACCGTTTCTTGGTTGCCTCACTTGGTTGCCTCCCTTGGTGAACGAAGAGGAACACCCATTAATTCTTGGGGTCCCCTATCTTGAAACAACTCACGGGGCAGCGGGCAGCGGTCTCATTTCAAGACTCCAAAGGTATAGAGCAGGCCCATAATGATGCCGGCAGTCCAGGTAAGCTCGCCAGTGTAGTCCCCCGGCCACGGAGCATTATAGTGGATGGGCGCACGCCCGTGGTTCCAAACCACTCGCCGGGCCACTGCTTCAAAGCCTTGGTCAATGATCTCCTGCGCCAGTTCTCGGTCCTCCAGTGCCTTGTCTGCCAACTCAGCAAGGTCTCTGTAGGCTTCACACATGGTGAGAGCAGTGTTTTCGCTCTTGGCATGCAATGTGAGGCTGTGCCTCACAGCACCCGGATAGCCTTGCATGGTTTGCATGCCTCGAATCAAGCACAGGATAGGGTAGCCATGAACCGGCATGCAGCGCTCCGCATCCAGCTGTAACGCAAACACGGCCTCGTCGGAAACTTCTTGTGTGCCATTCATCTCTTCTAGATATGCTCGAACGAAGACAGGGCGCATCTTGGACGGAACCCAAAATGAAAAGGCATACGAAAAGTCTGCCACGGCTGGCCCGGAAGAGCACATCTCAAGATCAATCACCTGCAACCCGTCCTCTCCGGACAGAATGTTGGATGGAAGAAAGTCCCCATGCACAGTCACTGTGCGAGATCCAGCCTCTGACACGGGGTGTGGACCGGCTTCCAAGTACATCTTCAGAGCCTCTTCACCCAATGCCATATCTGCTTCTCGGCCGTACGTGTTGATATTGTTGTTGAAGCTGAGGCTGCTCCAAAGCTTTGACGACGCTGGCACATCCTTGAGCAATGGGAATTGCTTCTTCCTCACGGCACTGTGCTCTTCATACCATGTCGGCGGGATGCTGTGAATCTTGGCCAACAGCCTGCCGCACTTGTCGACGATCTCCGGGTTATTGCTGACTTCACCCCACTTTCTGGAGTCGGCGTCTCCTACTGCACCTTGAGGTGCCCAAGCTTCCGCCCAGAGCTCCCAGTCACTCATTAGCCGCTTGGGGGCCAAGCCTTTGGATGCCAGAAGCCTCTGAGCGGCTTCCAATCTCTGAACGTCCGCATCATCTTCGCCCATGCCCACCCTCTTCTGCATTTTGATGCACAAGGAAGGCATCTCACCCTTACCCTTAAGCAAAAATGTCGTGCCGCCTCCCCCACTGGCATTTTGCATCTCGAAGTCCTCAACGGAACAACTCTTCCAAGGTTCTGGAAGCTTTGGGCAAATGCGCTCAAGTGTGGCTCGACATTCCTCAACCGGATCAATGCCTCCTTCATACACTAATACCAAATCGAGATTTGCCACGGGCGACAAGGAGAAATCTTCATTGAGCTTCCACCGAGTGGGGCTAAGGCTGATCAAATTGCCTCGGGCGGTAGTCTTATCAAAGTGCGCCGAGTTCCCGCGGAATGCGAGCTGCTTCGCGACCTGCAGGAAACATCCGTCTTCCAACTGCACTGCGCCGTCCTCGGCCAGGCACACCTGAGTCATAATCAAAAGCCGGTATCAAAATGGCCTACCCAGAACCACGTAAAGAATCAAGAAGGCGGCCGCAGCTATTTATGGTTTGGATTTTTCCCTTACCCACGTTCATCTACCCGGGTTTTGCTTGTCGCCCACCTGAAGCGGCTCCGTCACGAACTCCGACTCCGCGCAGCTCACAGCGCTGCCGCCGGCCTGGAGGCCCGGGAAGGTCACGAGGTGCCGTCCGGCGCGGGCTTTGTCGCCAAGCAGAAGCGTAGGCGGGCCCATGGCGGAGGCTGAACCCGCGGAGGCTCAGGCTCAAATCGCTTGAGTCAGAGCTTTGACGGCAGAAACACCCGCAAGGGCCACGCAAAGCTCTCTCCCACTCATGGCACACCCACCCGATCCTTTAAATGACAAATTGTCTTTCAGGCTGGCCAAACGGATCCAGCTCCTACAAGTGACAACCTTTGCAGGTTGAAAGGGATCATGACGGAAATGCAGGGAGCATGACGGAAATGTAGGGAGCAAACCTTTACAATCCGTCAAGGTCCACTTGAGTGTGCCCCGGTGCGACCCTGCCGAGGCACAGCTGCGTAGCGCTTTCACTCTCATCCACTTGCTCCTGCCAAGCGGCCAAGCGCAGCTGTCAAAAGGCGGGCGTGACCTCGTCTAAGGGTGTAGCGTAGTACACCCCAAGTGGGCACCGAGGGGAAATCACACTATTCAACATGGAAATGAGACCAAGCTGTCCCAGTCGCAATCCAGGGTGGAATGCTACAAATGTACAACCCTTTCGCATGTTAAGGCTAAGTCCTGGGGTGATTGGCAGCTGAAGCCAAGGCAATGGTCAGGCAGAGACTTACATGAAAATGAATCTGGAAGTTACGGCAAGGTAAGCACAAAAAATATACTGACCCTCCTGCACCTTTGTGATTGCGGAACTTCCTTGTGGGATCGTGCGCTTTCTTGCGTTCTAAACATAAAGTCTGGCAATGCTCATAAATGTAATTACAACGCATCACCCTCCTCTTTGCAGAAAGGCCATCCCTAAAATGTGTAACATGGAACCATAATAAAAAAAAAAAAAAAAAAAAAACATGGGACTAAGCAAATCAGCTCCACAAGACACATACAAACTCGCGAAAGACCAAACAAAATAGACGTATACAAGCAAATCAATCAAACAAAATCCAACACCAACAAGCAAACACAAGCACAAAGAGAGAGAGAGAGAGAAAGGGAACATCACCACCATAGACATAATAGACAAGGAACAAAAACACAAACAACAAGAAAACCAAGCTCAACAAAGCTAGGCAAGCTAAAGAAACAAAACAACACATTAGTAGGCTTAATATTGCCGCTGGGAGGTAGAGATTGGAAACATCAAAATAATTATTTAGTGAATATTAGCAAATTAAATAGTGAATGGGAATAGTGAGTTAAAACAATTGCGAATGGACATAGTGAATGGCAATAGTGAATGAATGGACATAAGCCTACATGGCGAGGTGACTAGGTCCAGGTGAGTTGTGCTAAAGCTTAGGCCCTTAGGCTTAGCAAAGCAAAGCGAAACAATGTTTATATGCTAAAGGGAAGCCCTCGACTCGATTAGCCCCAAGTCTGCCCAACACAACGCCCGCAATTTCCATAAGTGCCAATTCACAAATGTTCACTAATTCCATTCACTATTTTGCTCACTAATTGTTTGCTCAAGATTGCAGTCTTTTCAAAAGGAAAAAGCAAAAATCACTAGCCTGCATGAAATTTCACTAAATTTCACTAAATTTTGCAAGCCCAAATTAGTGAAATTTAGCGAAATTTATGAAATTCAATGAAATTGTAGAAAGAGATTCACTAAATTTCACTAAAATTCACTAAATTTCACCCAAGTTCACTAAATTTCACCAAGTTTCATTAATCTGATTTAGCGGAGATTAGTGAAATTTAGTGAATTGAAATAGTGAAAACTAATGAATTTTAGAGGTTCAATTTCCACAAATCGGCAAACTGTTGCTATTCAAATTAGTGAAATAAATTAGCGAATGCTCGCCCCGCCTGTTGGGGAAGCCGCTGACAGGCCCTCTTATCACAAATGCAAACAAAGACCAATTGGCTCCTTTGCTCAATTCATCTCAATTCACAAACCTGGAAACCCACATTCTCAATTCACTAATTGAAGTCACAAACTGCAAATCCATGTTTCCCAATTCACAATTTTGATTCACTAAATATGTCACTCACTATTTTGGTTCACAAACTATTTCACTATGTTTCACTCATTTAATTCAAAACATGTGTTTCAGTGTCTGCCTGGTCCGGCAATCTTATATAGTAGGCTAGTTGGCTACAGGCTTCGTAACGACTTACTCACTGCACCATCTTGCAGGTCTGGCAGCTCTCTCTTCACAAAGTGCTTCGCTGCTGTGGATGGACGAAATCCATTTCGCACCACCTAAGAAACCCTGGATTGGTGATTCCCTATAAATGCCAATAAAACATGGTTTCCAATGGTTTCAAAGTGGTGCAGGATTTAGTCCATCCACGTATGATTGCGCTTGTAAATAAACTCTGCAACCCTCCCAAATGCTTGCAGTACAATTGGGCAAGTACTTACTACAATGCTACACAAACAACTTCCCTGCCAAAAGCAGTCCGTAGTAGGGGCTACCTAACAAAAAAGCGTTGTTTTTGTGCGTGCCCTGAAGCATTGCACTTACATTGCTTGTATGGGGTCATCTGGGCTCCCTAATCCCTAAACGTCACCCCCTGAAGGAAACTCAAGCAGCACCATGCCAAAGATGTTGCTTCACCACCCGCAATGGGAAATGCTTGATAACTTCGGATGCAAACAGGATGAGTAAGCTAATCCTCCTTCGTCCTGAGGCTTGTCAAGCTGCTTGCCAACGGGGCAGCTAACGAAACGCAGCGGAAAAAGACATTCTGAGACTGGCCCCGAACAACCCAGGATGAGAAAGTATGCTTTACAAAACGTCAAGCATGCTTGGAACAACAAGCATGACTAAACAGGTAGTTCGCCCCACCAAACATGGAGAAGAGTGCGTCTGCCACCGGAACACTGAGCCGTGCTGTCCTGCAACTTCTGCCTGGCTGCCTCGCTCTCTTGCAACTTGGCTGCCTGTCGAGTCTTTGGGCCGCGGGTTTTTTCGCGGAGTCCAACTTGCCCAGTGACACTGGAAAAAAGAACCCATTTTAGGACTGTCAATGTCAGAGGGCATCTCTCAAAATACGGAGGAGCTACTGATCAACTAGGATCTCTTTGGACCTCAACGGGGGAGAAGTAGGATCTGCCAGGCAACATTCTGGCTGACCGTGTTAAAATATCTTACCAACCTACGTTCTAGAGCTTTCCAGCGAAGGGAAGTGACATCTTCCAAGTCACGTCAGTCGTCCATAAGCAAAGGTTTCGTGAACCTTGCGGGGTTCTTTCATGTGGTACCACTAGCAAGAACAAACAAGAAACAAGCTCGATTCTCTTCTTGGTATGGCAGCAAGACACTTTGTTTCTTGCGGCCCCCCAGAAAAAATGAACAGAACCAAACAAACTAAAACAAATGTCGAGAACAGTGAATTTGTGAGATTTTGCTGAGTGCGATGTGCCCAAGTTGAATCCATCACAATTTTTGATAAACAAACATCCCGTTTGATTGTGCTTATGAATGCTCGTGACATATCGGGTGGCTTTTGCAATAAGTGCACTCCCCTTACCCACGGTCACACAACCATAGACTATTGTTCAAAGATGTTCAAAGGCCAGCACACCTCAAAGGGCACCGTGACCACCCCTGAACAACACAAACACAACAAAGACCCCAGATCCAGAAGGATTGAGCTTAAGCCAGAAGGCCCCAACTTTGGTAATTGATCCTGGCAATATCCTGCCACAAACATCGGACCTGGGATTCCTGGAGCCATCCTCTAAAAGACGTCGGATAGGTTCCATGTTAGTGACAGCCGGCAAGCGCAGCAAAGGAATTCGACCAAGGCGCCAAGTCGTCAGCCTTCGCATCGGTTGCATCGCGCGCCTAAAGGCACAAAAGGGAGCCTAGTCTGATTTGGGGAGAATTGCCTCAGGGTACCCTCTCTTGATTGCATTCTGCTCCCCTGCTAAAAGTTTAACTTTTAGTGGTTTAATGGAAAACCCATTGGTTGGCAAAAAGTTGAAGTCCTAACATCCAAGCAAAATGCACAAAAGCTCTTTGGAGGGGTCTTAAAGGGAAGCCACGCGGACGCAATCTGTGTGGATTCCCGTGGTGTAAGATTGGCCTCCAGATCTGCAGCGTGAGCTCGGCTTTGCTCCAACTCCGCCCTCAGCTTGCCGCTTGGCCGAAAATTAGTAGCTCCGTCAGGCCAGTTCCCCTAAAGTTACCGTGGTCACAGCAGTAGCTGAGATGAGGTCATCTTCCTCAATGACATGGTGAAATAACCCACTTACGCTCGCACCTTTTCTGAATGGAACTTAAAACGGAAGGCCTGGTTCTGTTCTCTTCTAGAAATCGGCTTTTTGTGGGGTTCAATTTCATTTGTTCTGCCCCCGGCTGGTTCTTGTTTAGTAATATTTAGTGTCTTTTAGAATATCCTATGGGGGTGGATCCACAAAAGCCACATCCAAACCGGTTGCTGGAGCTCTGTAGACAGAGAAGGCTTGACCTTCGCGTTTGGCACACTTGATCTGACTCAAGAGGCCATTTCTACATATATATATATATATATTTCCACATATATATATGTATACATGCAGCTGGAATGCTGAAAGGGTTCATCACAAATCAAGTCGAGAGTGGACCTCTCCAAATCAGTCTATGAGCATTCCACGAGTGTGGAACCTAACTGGGGGTCCTTGGAAGGCAAGTGTCCTCTAACAGGGACCTTCTGATGACATACTACGTTAGGCACATAGGAGATGCACATGTTTCACTAGAGGCAAAGCTAACTCAGCACTCCAACACTGAGCAACATGTTCACTTAGCCTTGGTAACAGTTGGATGGCAAACTGCAGAACGCACATCTGTTCCAACCAGGGACAAAACGCATTCTAAAACCCTGCACGGGTCGAATGTGTGCCTGGCACACACAGATGACATTCCCACATCTTCATAAAGCGTTGTTTTGGCCATGGGTGGGATCTCTTTCAGTTTGGTTTCATGTGGATCTGTCACAGCAGGCGCCCTCAAAAAAAACAGGAACTCATTGATTCAAGGTGTCCATCAGCCGGCCAGGTTTTGGAAGTCAGTCCGTTCCGGAGCATGTTGGTCACATTGAGCTCGATTCACGTGCATGCCCACACCTTAGGGGCCTCAACTTGGGAAACTGTGCC